CCCCCCCATTTTTAACTCTTCTTATTTGCAGGCTACACATGACTTAGAAAACTATGACAATGACCGTCATGAGGAGTTTAAAAAGTATGAGATGATGAAAGAACATGAAAGGAGAGAATATTTAAAAACACTGGATGAAGAAAAGAGACACCAAGAAGAAGCAAAATATGAGGACCTGAAAAAAAAGCACAATGATCACCCCAAAGTTAACCATCCTGTAAGTTCGCTGTTTTTACCCACACTGTATAAAATGTATTTGTTTATATATTTTTATTTTGTTTATCAAATTTATATGGCTACCCATCTCACACAAAATCTCTCTGGATAATTGACCCCAACAATTAAAACATTATATGAAAGCCATTTAAAACAATTAAATATAAATTAAAGAAAAACAACGTGATGAAAGGGAACACATCAAATAAAGTTCTATTATGGTCATACACCAGGATAACTCATCAGAATTTTATACATGTTGGCAGGGATCCTTAAACTTATGAAAAAGTCAAGCTCACCAAAGTCAGTTAAATGGATACTAAATCATTTATATTTTCATTTATTTCAATATCACTTCAATATCATGGCAGTGTTTATCACATTAAAATATTATAGTTTTTGAGCTTGACTTTTGGTCATTGATTTCATTAAGCTTTTAGACTATAACCTAGTATAAATGCCATTTCCTATGCTTCCCATACAATTATTTCTCAACTAATTAGGACACTTTAAAAATGGAAAGATTCTGGGCTTTTTCAAAAATATCTATATTTTTCACTTTTTTGTGGAAACTGCAGTGTGACTAAATTCTACCCATCTTTTTGTCACAATGATGTCAATCCTACATAGGCATTGCGGAAGGATGGAAATTGTTTTTAGGGTGAATATAAAATATGTTTTATATCTGTAAAGTTTTATAGTTTTCTGTGACTGTAAGAATTTATACTAAAGATGCAGAGAAATAATGTATTACAGTCTTTTCCTTGCCATGTACGTGTTGGACAAAAAACCCCAAAGAGTGCTTAGGGGAAAATTAACTAGATTTTGAAGTCCTTTGGGTAACATAGTGTGATTTTAATTCTTTTAATTTAAAAGCTTTTGTGAAATCATTTGCACAAATGGTGTTCACTATTAACTTTCAGGGAAGTAAAGACCAACTGAAAGAGGTATGGGAGGAAGCAGATGGCCTAGATCCTAATGATTTTGATCCAAAGACTTTTTTCAAGTTGCATGGTAAGATTTATAGTTAAAAAAACATTAAGAAACAGAATTATCACATAACATTGACAATCTTTTGCACTTTTCAGACTGACAAATGTATCTTGGCATGTGCTTTTCAGGAGAACTTCAACAGATGCACGACATTTTTTCCCCCATATACTGTATAACCAACAACATATATATACATTGTTGTACATGGGTTTGTATTCACTTTTCCTAATCAGATAGCCCACCATATGACTTGAAGCAACATATACAGATATTAAAGTGGGATTGATTGTGTTCTAGAGTTATGGACGGGTGTCTCTGTAATTTATATTCATATGCCTTTTTTAACAGATGTCAATGCTG